CAGAGGCGGGCTACAAAAGTTGGCCCCGAAGCCACCCAGCACCTGCCCACGTGCCGCGGAGGCTCGCTCCCGGGTCTCCCCCGTCCCTTCCCCCCGCCGCCCTCGGCCGCCAGGTCACCTATTACCGGTGGGAGGGGAGAGAGGCTGGCATTTACGAAGTGGAGGCCCCCCCACGGGCGGGTGCCGTGCCCCTGCCTCCCGTCGCCGCGCTCCGCCACTTTGAGCAGCAGCGGCGTCCTCAGCCCCGCCTCCTGCCCGAAGGCGGGCGGGGGGAGCGGGAAGGAGGTGGAAGGGATCGAATTTCTCCAGCAAATGGGACCGTTCCGACAGGATTCGATTCCCCGGTCAACATTCCACATTCCATCCCTCTCCTGCATTTGCAAGCCAAAGCCGAGCAACCCGGAAAGCCTGCTGGCTAGCGAACAACAGCCCCCCAACTCACAACCACACACTCACAGGCACAAAACACGTGCACTGAAGGGCTTTGCAACTTGCAGTCCTGGGGTACAGGCTGCACGTTCATTTGAGGCAGGAGAAGACCAAGAGACCCCACCCCCACAATTTGCAGATGGTGCCAAAGGTTGCAATTTGCAATCCTTTTTTAAGTTCATGATTAATCGGCACTTTGCTCTCCCAATGCAACTCCTTTCCAATTTCACCGATGGAGGGTTTTACACTTTACAGGCAGTCTCGCTGTTAAGTAAAAGGTCTGATCATTGGAAACCCAAATTGGAAGAATGTAATTGCCGAGCTGTCCCCCCACCCCCTGCTCACTGCCCTTGAATTGATGCAATGAATATTTTGGCATGTGGTGACGCGGTGAAAAGAGCCAGGGCCGCGTCTCCCCACACAGATGTACCTACACACACCTATGTTTGGACAAATATAGTCCCCGCACACACGGTCACACTCTGGATGCATATATGTACGCGAACCTGCGTTCTGCCATTGCCATCTGTCTACCAACTTGCTACTATGCTTTCCACTCCCATGCAGCCTAATACACTTTGGCTTTTCAAAAAATTCTGTAACTAAAGCCAACTAAATGGGGCTTCTGCTCCTGAACGCGTTAAATTGATGATTCACCTGAAAACCGCATGTTCTTCGCAAATCCAAAAGAAGGAAACGTTCCTAAGTCTTCGCTTCCCCCCCCCACCCCGATTGAAAAAAATTAAAATAATAAAACTTACTGATCCAATACAGATCAATTCTCAGGATCCAAAAATCATACTCTCCTCTGGCCCCCGCCCCGGCAATGCCCAAGTTACTGGTGGGATAGTAACGCTGCGCTCCCTCCCTCCTCGCTACATATCGAGAACCCAATCTTTTGGCGCCATATTAATGACGTACTATATTATTTCCACTAGGCAGCGACCTTCGGCATTAAATTACTCCCGAGAACTCCCGAGCAAAGCAACAAAACCATCAAATATGGCTGAGCCTCT